GAGAGAGAGAGAGAGAGAGAGAGAGAGAGAGAGAGAGAGAGAGAGAGAGAGAGAGAGAGAGGAGATAAGCATAGCACGAACTGCTAAGGAACTCCATGGCAAGCCATGGTACGACAGTCCACCCCTGACTCAGTATCGGCATCAGGACTTGCTACTTCATCCTCAAATATCCTACATAGACTATGCATGGGGCAATATGTTGTTAGGCTTTGACATGCGCTAGCAAGACCGTTCCCATCCAACAAAGGAAAAGACTGGCAAGATGGAGAAGGCCGTAAAAAAAAACGAGAAACAACTAGGCGAAACAGAAAGACATGAGCAGGGAGGAAACACACAGGCTGGAGGGCATGGGGAAGGCGGGAGGGCAGACAACACACAAGGTACAAAGCGGAAAACACACGGCGACAAGGCATAGGATGACAAACAGCAGCAAAGGACAAAGGCTGGAGGGCACGGGGGAGGCGGGACCGCAGAGGACACACAAGCACGCCAAGTAGATGACACCAGCACAACAAACAGACGAGCAGATGACACACGAGCATGCGAAGCAAACTAAAAGCAAGCACACCAAACAAACCAAGAAGATGACGCAGAAGCATACCAAACAGAAACTAAAAGAACGAGCCCAAGAATTTTTCAAGGACTGAAAAAAATAGAACTCCTGATAGATTGTTTCATCGGAGTTGCACTGACTCATCAGGAGGCTGAACCCTCAACAATCTGCAGAATCTCAGTATGGATGGTTTGGATCATGAACCCTTTCACCCATGTCGAAGGCAGACTGTCCCCCAAGCGGGACATAGCAGCGGGCAGCGACTCAGCGAAGAAACAGGCAACGCTGCTGAGGCGACACAACTGCACAATGCTAAAAGCAACTGCAAGGAACAACGGGGCAAGCGGACGAGCAGCACGGCACCTGCGCAGTGAAGCGCAAGGCAACACTGACCAGGCAGCGAAACTACACTCCACACAAGCAAAAGACGCGGAAGGAACGGCAGGGCAGCAGAGCAGCGAGGCACAAGGCAACACCGACACTGCAGCCACACAACAGAGAACACAGCAGCTTGCAAAAACCACACGCGAAGCAAGCGGGACGGGCACCAATGCAGAGGTGGAGCGCAGACGACGCAGTCCACACATCGAACACGAAGCAAAGCGGCACATCGCCCACTTACATCACGATTGAACCCCACAGCCTATTGGTTCCCACCACCCGTTGAGCCAGGGAGGTACTCCAATGGACGTCTGTCATCCACCCACAGACTGTAGGCACCACAGACATCACAGACAGAGTGTCCCCCCTAAGAGTCCTGCAGGGATTCCAAACCACCAACCACAAACTATTTAGCACTTCTAAAAGGTGCTCACCCAGGCACACAAAAAGTACTTAGAGAAAATCACGAAAGGAAAAATACATAGACACATAAGAATGATTGTGTATGTGTGTGTGTGTGTGTGTGTGTGTGTGTGTGTGTGTGTAGCATGTGTGTGTGTGTGTGTGCGTAGCATGTGTGTGTGTGTGTGTGTGTGTGTGTGTGTGTGTGTGTGTGTGCGCGCGCACACGAGCGATCGTGTGTGCGCGTGAGTCTGGGTGGGGGGTAATCTTCTTGTTGCAATCTTGAATCAATGGTCCCAACCATACCACACTACCATGTCTTTTCTTTTCTCTTATGGTTTTTTTTTTTTTCATTCTTTTCCTTTTCAGAAAGGGGAGGAAAGACAAATAAGATGACTGTGGGTTTATGAACTTAATGCCAGTTTATGGCTATGTGCTGTACTTTTTTTTTTTTTTAACTAACATATATTCTTCTTCTTGCAATTTCATGAATCACGTTTGCTTTGATAATCTGGGTCTTTATCACTTGGTTTTAAGTTTTAAGTTTTAACTAATCTTTACATGTTTTTATTCAAGAAAAGGTAAAAGAACAAGAAAATGATTTACACGCATGGTGTCCATGACTCCATGCTGTGTCGCCCTGGATAACTATTTCAAAAGTTTAGAAGTCTCCAATATTCTGATTATTATGTTACAAATTTGAAATTTGTAAGATAGTTAAACGCGCGCAGTTGTGTCCACCAAGACAACTGTCGAAATTGGACTGATACAGAGAAGACTAGCATGGTCCCTGTGCATGGATGACACCCAGAAATTGAGAAATGTTCCAAATTAACCAGAAGAAAAAGGAAAAAAAAGCTAGGTTACCAGCCCGGACGTCCGGGATCCATTCTGTTCCGGGTTGTCCGATCGGACAAATCCCCCGGTCGTCTGAGCGGGCCCCAGAGTCCGGGCAGGTTGAAAAATCGGCTCTGGGTCTGATAGGGGTTTGGGGCGTGCGGTGAGGTCGGCCGATTCTCGTGAGGTCAACAGGGCCTTTGAAAACGAAGACGAAAATGGCCCGGTCGGGGCCGTCAGGTCTTAAGAGATCTACAGCCCAGATCGGCCAAATTCGAATTCGAATTCAGCCCTTGACCTCCGTCTGCCCGCGCGCGACCTTGGCACGTCGTGGGAGTTGGGCGATGGCGAAATCGCGTGCCAACAGCCACGACCCAACGCATGTTCCAACCCTGTTACAGGTGTGTACCCTCCTCCTTCCTCCATGTCTCTCTCGTCTCTGTCCTCATTTCCTTCCTCCTCTTCGTCCTCCTTTCCCTCCGTTTCTTCCTCCTCCTCCTCCGCCTTTCCATCCACTTCCTTCTACTCCCCCTCCTCGTTCTCCAGATTTTCTTCCTCCTCCTCGTCCTCCACCTCCTGCTCCTCAACGTCGTCCATCATCTCGTCCTCCTCCTCTTCCTCCTCCTCTTCTTTTCCCTCCTCCTCCTCTTCTTCTTCCTCCTCTTCTCATTCTTCCCTGTCCTCTGTGTGTGTGTGTGTGTGTGTGTGTGTGTGTGGATAGTCTGTGCGCGTGTGCATGTGTGTGGTGCTGTTTGTGTACAATTGTAAACACACTGTAATGTAGCTCAAGTACACAAGAAGTGTAGTCCGCCTGGCGACCCCCAAGGAGAGACCCATGCACTAAACAACTCGAAGACAATTCTCGCATAACCCCATAGTGGATTGAACGTTGACAGTTGAACAGTACAAACAATAAAGGACACAGGCTGGAGGGCACAGCGGGGGAGGGTGGGCAAACAAACAAGCACGAAAGACAGTGCGGCAAAAGACATAGGCTCGAGGGCATCGGGAAGGTGGATGGGCAGACAAACAGTGCAAGGCAGCAAGGCACATACTCGACTGGATGGCATGGGCTGACAAACAGCTCAAGGCAACAACGCACACCTGGTGAAAGGAATAGGGTAGGCAGATGGGCAGGCAAACAGCATATGGCAGCAGGGGAACGATAGCAAGTCAAACAACCACAAGACAAAAACAACCACCGAAAAATGAAACTTGATGATAGATTGTTTCGTCGGAGTTGCACCGACTCCTCAGGAGGCTGAACCCTCGACAATCTGCAGGATCTCCGTAGCTGACGGACCGGGTCATGAACCCTTTGACCCTTGTTGAAGGCAGGCTGTCCCCAAGCGGAACATAGCAGCCGGCAGCAGCCCTGTGGAGCACCAGGCAACACAGTAGAGGGAACACGGCTGCACAATG